CAGTTCTGTAGTATTTAATACACACACACGAAGCATAAGATAAATACCAGGAAACCTACCACCTAACTTGAACAGAATATACTGTTTTTTTTTTCCCTAATCCCATCCCTCCAGCTTCTTCCCTGGAGAGCAGCACAGTCTTGAATTTTGTTTATCATTCTCTGTCTGAGAGAGCATGAGTGGAGGAGAGTGGCACAAGGGGAGAAAGAATCTTAAGCAGGCTCCACGCTCAGTGCAGAGCCTGCCATGGGGCTTGATCCCACAACCCTGGGATCATGACCAGTGTTGAAATCAAGCGTCAAGACTCTCAACCTACTGAACCATCAACCAGGCACCCCTCTTTCCTTCCCCCTCCCCAATGTTATGTTCCACATTTGTACAGTGCCTGTTTCTTCACATGTAAGATAGAACTTTGGAGTCGGTGCTCTTTAGGCTCCCTTCCAGCTTCAAGGGCATAGGAGATATCATGGGCGGGCATCAAAGTTACATACTTAGTGGGACCATATAAATGTTTATTTTTCAAGGGCTTTATAAAGCTAAAACACTTGACTCTTCTGTTGGCATCTCCAATTTGACAAAAGGATATCTCAATGGAGCTTCTAGTCTCAAGATCAAAATTTTCCATCCCTTTCAATTTGTACCTCTGCTAGAAAGTTCTAGTCTAGAGAAAACACAAGGAGCTAAATAATCTAACTCTCTGACCTTGTCCAATGAAAACCTTGAACCCATGCCTGAGAATGAATTAGAAAGCAGACTTTATTTCAAGGACAAGCATTTTAATAAAAAAAACAAAAAAACCAAGAGGCATGGTTGTGTTAATATGAAAATTTTCTTACAACCTGGATTTACATCCTCCATTAAATGTGTGTGTCTTCTGGTCTTCTTCATGTTTCTTCAAAGGCTCTTACACTATTTTCATTTTTATATAAAACAGTCTTTAAAGTAAACACAAATGCAAATCTGCTGACCATATGCTTGTTTTCCAGGGGTACTGTCTGGTTCTAGGATGCTATTTTTCCTAGCTATTAACACTCTTCACTTTTATATTTGTCTCACCAGTTACCAAGTTTATGAGTTAAGTGATTTGGACCAGGCAGCGGAATTGCTGTGTAAAGGGCAAATGCCCCGTTTGTACACTGGTCTGCATTTGTCACACCTCCGTATGGCTGCTATAGAAAGTCACCTGTGACTGTTGGTATTGGGGTAACAGGTTAATGTGTCTTCAGTGGCCTCTGAAGAGGCCACGGCTGTAAAGTAAGCTGTGAATATGTTAAGAACCTTAATGGTACCAGGAAGACAGTGATCAAAAGAATGAGTGGTCACTACAGTATTTTTCTCATGGAATTTTGGTAGTTTTCCTTATGTTACCCACTGAGTTGGCACAAGAAAATGTGTATTTTCTTTTTTTAAACATTTTTAATGTTTATTTTTTATTTTTGAGAGAGACAGACTGTGAGTGGCAGAAGGGCAGAGAGAGAGGGAGACACAGGATCCGAGGCAGGATCCAGACTCTAGAGTTGTCAGCAAAGAGCCCAGTGTGGGGCTCGAACTCCCGAACTGTGAGATCATGACCTGAGTCGGGTGGTTAACTGAGTGAGCCACTCAGGCACCCCAGAAAATGCGTATTTCTTAAAGGTCTCCTTTCCAACACCAGTCCTGCTTCAACCATTTAATATGTAGTATACAAATCACCTTGATTTTTATAACCTGCCTCTTTAAAAATGGTAATAATAAACAATGTTATCTCCTCAGTTTCTGCCTATTTTGGAGCTTAAAATGAACTGGGAGGGGCGCCTGGGTGGCTTAGTGGGTTAAGCGTCCGACTTTCGCTCAGGTCATGATCTTGTGGTTCGTGGGTTCGAGCCCCGCATCGGGCTCTGTGCTGACTGCCAGCTCAGAGCCTGGAGCCTGTTTCAGTCTGTGACTCCCTCTCTCTCTGACCCTCCCCTGCTCATGCTGTCTCTCTCTCTCTCTCTCTCCTAGAAATAAATAAAACATTAAAAAAAAAAAAATGAACTGGGAAAAGTTAACACTAAAAGACTCCAAGAATGCCAGTACAGGTACATACACTTTGCCTAAGAGATTAACAAGGAAAAGGCACTACAGTGCATTATTTGAAATTAAATCCAGATACTCTCCTTGTTTAGCTCAGGTACATGTACCAGGAAAGCTCAGAATCATTTTTACCTCCATGTGTTTATTCCTGGTAAGAACAACTGCAAATCACAGTGGCACTTCGAGAACCCTTACAGCGAAAGGGCAATCTTCCCCAAAGCAAATCCTCTCCTTGGGGTAGAGGATGGAAGCCTTGGATAAGACTGAAATGCAGGTCTCAAAGGTTCTCTGGACTAAGCCTGTGAAACGCCTCTGCATTTAACCTATAACCGTAACACTTGACTTTAATGGAAATGAAGGCAGATTCAGCTGCTTACCTGTCCACATTCTGAAAGGAAGGCATCCTCTGAAAAAGAGGATCTCACAGAGAAGTAAGCTGCTCCTCCCCAATTGAGATAGATGTATAGTCACTTCTTTATTCTACTTCTTGGGAATTTCCAAAAATTTCTAGTAAACTAAATCCAGACTAGGGAATTCTAGGCCCAATAAACATCGTAAGTAGTCTCTGACAGCTCCTGGACCAGACAAATTGGCTGTTGCAATCATTATTTTACTAAAGAAACAGCAGGCTTGTTTGTTTTGTGAGCTAATGAAATTAACACAGGTAGTCCTTCTATAGTGAGCGGTACTCATGCTGGAAAAGGTCAGATGTTTTGTGGTTCTGTGATTTCTGTTTCTTTTGTTGAATTGTATTCAAGCAGGTAATTCTTTGCAATGAGACTCACACCCCTGCTTGTTTTTCCTAAACTGGTTAGGAGTTCTGGGTTACAAATATAGAATAGACTGTTGTGTTGCCATCCCCCAAACAAATGAAATTGATTGGGTTTTGTAATTTTCCAGTAAGAAAAGTATTTTTAAAACAAGGTTAAGTTGTTGTGTGAGGTATTGGGTGATACACAAATAACCAGAATTAGTGGCCTAATGGGTGTTTTTCCCCCTCAATATATTATCACCCTCTCTAGAGGAAAAGGTCTGGTTACTCACTTAAGATCACACAGCTAGAAGCAGAAATGCCATTGTGCTGGGGCTTATCTTGAACCTGTTTTTAGAGACTGCAACTAAATAAACAGCTCTACTTCATTAGAAGAGAATCCAATGGAAAACTCATGAAAGGAGGCATTCACAAAAGCCCATTCTCCCTTATCTGTTACCCACAAACAATGCTAGATAGATCATTTTTGAAATTATTTTTAAGCATGCTTCATTCAAGTCCTTATCTATACCAGATCCTCTATCCCTCTCCCTGCAGACTTCAAACCAAACCCGAAAAAAACAACCAATCAACAAAAACAAAAAATGCACAGATAATCCAAATAAAACAAACAAAAAAACACATCTGGGGAGAAGTTTCCTCTTGAGGGCCAACAAGACCCCAGGACAGCCCAAGCTTTGGGGGTTTCAGAAATCAAACTTACTATGCATACATCCCAGGGTCGTTGGCAAGGCCATCACACATTTAGGCTTTGAAGCTTAATCAAGTTTTAGCCGCAGGTGGAAAGCCTATCTCTTCACACATACATTGTTCCCCTCCACCCCAATCTTCACTCCTACATAATCTACACCTGGTTTGATGCCTAGTACAATTTCCAGCTTGAATGTGGGAGACTTCAAAGAAACCTCCCCTACGCTGGAAATGTTCAGAGAGCAAGATGTTCTAAAGATTTGATACAAGAATGGGGTATTTTGCTATATAAATGCTATCAACATCTTGAGGACTCTGCATAAAGATGCGCTGATCAAAAAAGGCCCACTCCTATAAATTCTGAAAAGAATCCGGTCGACATGAGTCAGAGAACATAAATACAGTTATTTTTTTTCCAACCCAAGGGTCTTGACTGCTTTAGCTTAAGGTCCCTTAAGATAACTTTAAGTAATTATGTTTCATTAATGTGAAACGGGATGGGATTTCTGTTCTTGGGGCTGCAGGTACTTAACCAAACTATCAAGCTATCTATGTTGACGCTTTCTTTGAAACAGTTCTTCTGAGTTTGAGGGTTCTTTCCTGAATCAAATGAATGAGATTCAAAGCAGGGAGGGGGGGAAAAAAAAAGGCACCTGTCAGTTTGAAAGTCACAGTTTATCTTTCTATAATTAGATTGGGAGAAAAAAATGAAGAACCCCCTGTTAGCAGGAAGAAGAAAGAATCTTCTAGGGTCTGGAATCTGCAAGGAAAGGAGAGAAAGAAGAGAGTTTTTAGTTCCGGTCAGTGATAAAAACACCAAGTGCATCTAACAACAGGCCACACAACTACAACCTGACTGAAACCTCTTGGTCAGCAGGAAGAGTCTGCCACTGTTAATGGCAGAACACAGAGTACCTTCTGACCCTTAGCTTTTCAGTACCACTAAGCACACAGAAATCTGTTAACTGAATTAAAAACATTCTACACAGAGATCGATGTACACTCATTGTGTCAACAGTTTCACGAGTGAGAAGAAAATCAGAACCATCCATACAATGGACTCCTCCAGACAATTCTGGATTAATTTCAATGAACCTCTATTGACCTTTTTCTTTTCTCACATACTCATTAATTCAGTAATATTTTTTGAGCTGTTTACAATGCACATTAGGGGAATCAGATTTACTATGGTGTCACCTGCTTTGAGACGCTTACCTAGTAAAAAGATTTGTTCATAAACACACAATGAGATAAAGCATAGTGAATGCAAAGTGAACAGACCCTTTTTATGTACATGCATTCAAAAAAATCTCCACCCATACTTAAGTTCCTTAAGGAAGCAAGTCCTATCTTCTATTTCTTTTGTACCTTACCAAAGAAGCCACAGCATTCAACAACAGGCATTCAAAAAATGAGGCTTCAATTTTATGAAGAGGATAAAAAGGTCTGTGGCTATTTAAGGATTCTTACCTAAACTAGGATAATTCTTTTCCCTTAGTTCCTCAGAGTTTCTGTAGAAAAATACATTTTCAGCATGTAAGGGGTTTAACAGCAAAGAGTTCAGTTCCAAAGGAGAAAAACGTTTAGTATTCGGTGTTAGACACAGAAGCTTCTCCTAGGCTTTCACCTCACAGCAACTTTTTTTTTTTTTTTTTTTTTGGAATCACTACACCCAATGTGAGGCTCGAACTCCCAACTCAGAGATCAAGAGTTGCTAGCTCTTCTGAGTCAGCCAGTCGCCCCTGGCCCATTCTTATTAGGTAGCTATCCATAGGACAGGAGCGTCAAGCATCTTGGGAAGCATGTCAGGGAAGGATTCAGAGTTCACCATCTATCCGGGTCATTGTGTGCTTTCCTGACACACCCCAGTGCTGTCATAGCTCTTTCCCTCTGGGGGCCAAATCGAATTTTCTGTTTCCAGGGGTATTTAGCAATTTGACATCAGGACATACTAAGAAAAATGGATAGTACCTAGAAGCAACTCATAAATATTATTTAATTAATTTTTTTACAAATAGTTTATTGTGAAATTGGTTTCCATATAACACCCAGTGCTCATTCCCATCATAAATATTATTTATGAGTTGGCTAAAGGGCGTTTGCTTTTAGAATCTCTTCTGCTTCTCACTAGAAGAAACATCAGTTCTGGTACACAATGAACCCTAACTCATAGGAGATCCATCTGCTTCACTGTCCAGAGAAAGTGAATGAACTAGAAGGCAAAAGGCCAATTACTCATTAAATAAATAGTCACAGAGGGCCTACTATCTGCAAGGCATGGGGAATATCCTCTTATTCCTCACCTAATAATATTCCTTTTGCTAGGAGCCACATGGCTGGGCAACCTCAACCAAAATAGCATCAAATTTGGCTCTGCTCTGGGTATACAGGATTACCTCAAGGAAGGGTTTCAGCTGGAAAAAGTAAAGATTTTTTCCCTTCATATAGATTTTGCGAGATTCTGCTAAATCAGACACTCAGAGAGGATGAAGAGTGCAAGACTCTTAGAGACCCAAAACTTTTAAGTGCTCATTAAAAGGAGTAAGAATTTTTTGATGAGCACGGGGAAAAATTGCAGAGCAGTGAAGCACAGCTGTCTGATTAATCTCAGTCCATTAAAAAGGCGTGATAGATCTAGAATGCAACTTTGATAACAAAAAAAAAAAAAGGAAAAGAAAAAGGAAAAAGGCAATGTGTATTCACGTTGGGGAAAGCAACTTGGCATGTTAACAGAATTCTAATTTAACCAGTAAATGCCTATTCATTAGCGTGTAACGCTATAATAGAAGCTATATACTTAAAAAACACAGGCACACAGAAAGCTTTAATTTGATACCATAATCTGAAAGAAAATTGGACCCAAACTGCTTTATGTCCAGTTAAATCTTGCTACCATCGGAAGAGATGGTGAAATAAAACTGAAACACTTACTTGATGAGATATTCAGATACTGTGCATTTCCATCTATGGAGTAGAAATATTTCAAAATAAATACACCATGACAATTGAAATTCACTCCATTCCCTATTCTTACTAAACACAAATGACTTATTCCTGGGGTACACTGAATTACAATATAAAAGTAGAATAATTTAAAATTAGTGGTTGGATCCTACTCAAGCACATGGGAAAAGAAGAGTCCATTCATTACCTATCAAGCCCTTAGGCATATGATTTGGTGATCTCATTTTTTTGGAAATGGAAGTATCCAAAAGGAACTGTTTTAAAGGGAATCTTTGAGCCACCTAAAAAATTAGCTCAAACAGCAGCAGAGACTGAAATCAAAGGAATGTGTGTTTCAGAGCTACATTAGGAAAGTCTGTATTAAATAAAAATGACAATATCTTGGGTGTTCCATATGTGCGAATTTCTTTATCAAGGTGGTAGGATACGAATTCAGAACCGATTTACTCAGCATGGCCTCTGATGTCTAGGGAAGACATCGGAATACTATTCTTAATGTTAGTTCTTGGGGCTTATGAATTTTTTCTCTACTCATTTCCTTTTAGGTCTCTGCAGTCCAATTTTGAATCCCAATTTCCTATGGATATTATGCCTTGAATGTCAGAGATGACTTCCTTCTAGCCAAAATTAATAGCCTTTTAACTGGTCCCCACATTTACCCAGGGCATTTGATGTCAGTGGTCATCCCAAATTCTTTTGATTTCTGTGATCCTGTACCTTCCTGTTCATAATTTCCTGTTATTAGCTAGGGCCAGGGCCAGGGTGAAGAAAGCGAGGTGCTCAGAATGCAAAATTCAAGGAGGCACTCACTTTCAGGGCCATGTGGGTGTAATGTGTTCACACTGAACACGTCTTTGGACAGTCAAGAAAGACCAACTGTATTTAGCACAACGAAGAGAGTAAAAGCATTTTGCCTTTATTTCACTTACTGTTTTTCCATGGCAGAACATACGGCAGAGACTTGGGAACACGCATTCCTGAAGCCAGGTTACTCTTATGTTCCATAACTATGTTGCTTGCAGGGCTGCAGAAAGAAAGACAGATCTGTCTATGCCTGCATATCTGTATTCTCCAGACAGGCACACACAAGACAATCAAAATGTGTGTGTTGTAATTTGGGGGAAAACAGCAAACTACATTCTGAGATGTAAACACATTTCCATCAAAACATTTTTGCAATTAGAATGATTACTACTTCTCTGAAAAGCTCACTGTTCTGTAAAAGCATTAAGATGGGTCTGACCAATTTCATTTCCCAGAAATTGAGATAAACAGCAATGCCATCTACTGTTCAGTTGTATGACAGGCTCATCAACTCAACAAATCCAAGAGAGAAAATAAAATGCCAAGCCAACCAAACCAAAGGCAACAAATTTCACAGGAAGGAGGTAAAACTAAAATTGTACTATTAAAATTCATCTTTAAGTTATTCTACTTTAGTGCACACACAAAATAAGATACACATACAATTGTTAACTTATCCTTGGGAGCTAAGACATAAAAATTGATAAGCGCTCTGTTTGGGGAAAAATGAAGTCTACCATCTCATTCCTTCATTTTTTAATCCTCTCATTTCTGAATATTTGCAATTTGATCCTGTAAGGTTTGAAGATGAAGTAGTAATGAGAAATCTTTTTTTTTTTTTTTAAGTTTACTTTGAGAGAGCAAGCGCGTGTGGAAGTAAGCAGGGGAGAGACAGAACCCTAAGCAGGCGCAGCTCCCCGATCTCGCGAACCATGAAATCATGGTTCAGGTTGAGCTGGAATCTAGAGTTGGATGCTCAACCGACTGAACCACCCAGTCTTCCCAGTAATGAGAAATCTTATAGATTTAAATTACAAAGTCAGTGGAAAGAAGGGATGTATTTTTTTTTCCCTACACAAAAGGTACTCTGGCTTGTCCAGTTTCAACTCACAAACTTTTAAGATTATTTTTCCGTAGACACTAGCTGCCCAGAGTAAACATGATCCATGTGGTGTAGCCGGAGAAGTTTTTTCAAAGTATTTAAATATTGTGAACATAGCAAAAAAACAGAAACTTAGGCATAAGGATGTCTGGTACCACCATCTCTCTTGCTAGGCTATAAGCTGGTACTTTTGTGTTCCCATAGTGATTAACACAAAGCATGTGGCTTTTTTATGAATCGAAGAATAAAAAAGGAAAATAACTCATCAAAACCATATCTAGACTAAGTTACCACCAAGTAATATCATTAAGGAAAGAGATTAAGTCAGGCTTTGGTGGCTTCTTTTGGTAATAGAGCACTTGGATTTGGGGAGGCAGTGCTGGAACAAGACTATTTCATTTACCTGTTGTTGCCACAGTAGTTGGCTGAGCCCCAGACAAATGGGGTGCTGGTCTGTTCCCACAGATCTGCCAAAGAAAGCAAAACATAGTTTGTGGTACTGTAGTTTATGCTAGCTGAATCTGTAAGGTGGGAAATAATACACTAAAGTTTAGAGAAGCAAGTAAAAATTGATCAAGTACCCTGCCTAACTGACACGGTAGCAGGAATTTAATTGAAGGATATAAGCACGGCAACATAAATAATAATAAATGTGCCCAGGAACAAACAAACACAGATGGTACAACACAATTTATGCAAAAAAAAAAAACAGATGTAAAGAAGTGCTTTTTCCAATCAAGAGGGATAGGCTGTTCCACGTGTCTGCACAGTGATACAAATGTGCTCGTTCTGGGGCCCAATAAAAATAATAAGGCATTCTGAACATGGTGTGTTCATAAAAGAGGAAAATCTTCCTTCTGTTTAAAGCAAATGACTTGAGGACTTAGACACTGTGAAGAAAAAGACTGAGAAACACTTCACCTTTATCCCAGTCTTCATCACAAGGAGGGCACTGCCAGGTGCTCTCGGCCAGAGTCTCTTGTCTAAGGTTCCTGGTTTGGTTGACTGAAAGATAATAAAGACTCTGCGGTAAGGAGGGGACCTCACCAATTATCGTGTTAAAAGGGGTGACTGCCCTAAAAGGTTGCAGGGTAGCCTAAAAGGTCTTTGTTTCTGAAAAATGGATACTACGAAAGCTAAACAGAGAGGTCTTATCCCTTGGCTGACAGAAGAAAGAGAGGCAGAAACAAAGAGGTTTACCATATTGACGGCAATAAAACGATTTTTATTTTTAGATGAGTTACTGGTAAAATGGATCAGGCTGTTCAGAAGAGAAAGCAGTCTGACCAACACAACCTGACGGCCTGTTACTGATGAGATAAGACACTCAAAGGCAGAAAGGTATTATTCTTCTGAAATGATGAAAGCCAAAAATCAAGGGGACAGCGTGGCACGACACAAATCTGAAGGGGCTAACCTCAGGCACAGGCACATGCTAGCCAGTCTTACCAACATCCTGCTCAATACAACTCTTATCGTCGCAGCTTGAGATATGGTGGCTGATTTCGGCCCGAGGCACCTGGTGGCGAGCATTGAAGGGACAAGTAGCCAATTTGTTTGCAACATCAGGATGATTCTGTGGAACACAAATTAAGGGGTCTGTCAGAGTAAAGGGACTTATTCTACAAATGACTCCACTAAAAGTGCTCAGTAAGCTTGTGGCTTAACTACGGTAGGCAAACTCATGGTAGAAAACTGAGAGGGAATTATTGCTCGCTTACATGGGCTGTACAGGTTACCTCAAAATCATCAAAACATCAGCTTCTTCATTAGGATCAGACCCACACAGATACTGGGTGAATGTGGCTCCTACGGAAGGGAACAGTGAACTTAGGACTGGGTATCTGAGCCACATTTCTCAGGGTCACCAGCCTCTGGCAGCACCGCCTATCCTGCTGGAGCTCTCTGCACGTCTCTGAAGGGTGATATTCCCGAAGCAGTGGCATTCACACGGACACTCGCTCTCGGCTGCACTGCAGCAGCGCCCCCGTTACTGCCATACAATCGTGCTGGAAAACAGCTGTTGGAAGGGAGCCGCAGAGGCAGTACAGCCACGGTGTTTCAGATGAACACAGGAACGCTTACTTAAAGTAACAATGCCTGAAATGAAGCTGTGAACAATTTGACATTTACTTCAGTTATTTTTACTAAGGAAAAGACCAAATGAGAGTCTCTTCTGCTGACCAAGTTTCTGATTTTATTTTTTTAACGTTTGTTTATTTTTGAGAGAGAGAGAGAGAGAGAGAGAGAGAGAGATGGTATGAGTGGGAGAGGGGCAGAGAGAGAGGGAAACACAGAATCCGAAGCAGGCTCCAGGCTCTGAGCTGTCAGCACAGTGCCCGGCGCAGGCCTCAAACCCATGAACCATGAGATCATGACCTGAGTTGAAGTCAGTCGCTTAACCAACTGAGTCACCCGGGTGCCCCTAAGTTTCTTATTTTTTAAATTATTATTATTTTTTAATGTTTTGTTTATTTCTGAGAGAGAAAGAGAGAAAGAGAGAGAGAAAGCATGAACAGGGGAGGGTCAGAGAGAGAGGGAGACACAGAATCTGAATCAGTCTCCAGGCTCTGAGCTAGCTGTCAGCACAGAGCCCGACGCGGGGCTCGAACCCATGAACCAGGAGATCATGACCTGAGCCGAAGTTGGATGCTCAACCGACTGAGCCATCCAGGCGCCCCATTAAGTTTCTTATTTTAAAAAAATAAAACAGGGGCACCTGGGTGGCTCAGTTGGTTGAGCATCTGACTTCGGCTCGGGTCATGATCTCACAGTCAGTGGGTTCAGGCCCTGGGTCGGGCTCTGTGCTGACAGCCCAGAGCCTGGAGCCTGCTTTAGTTTCTGTGTCTTCCTCTCTCTGCCCCTCCTCCGCTCACTCTTGGTCTCTCAAAAAAAAAAAAAAAAAAAAAAAGATATAAAAAAAATTAAAAAACAAAACAACAAAGTGTTTAATATCACCCAACTCCTATAGCAAGTATTTCAGCAATTAAGACATTGATTAGGAGAAGCAAAACATATATCACAAATGATACTCAAAAAAGTAAAACTGATGTGAAGTGGGAGGACACTAGAGAAAAACAGAGGATGAAGAAAATTGTGAGGAGTTATGGAGCGCTCCAATGCAAAGATTCTTGTGGTGAAAGATTCAAAGCATCAGAAGAAGAGAGTTACAGACAATGTCTTTTTATTGCGTGGCTTCCCTTCCCAACCTTTACCCTTGGGGCATGTTTGAGAGCCTCCGGAAGGAAGTCATTGTGGTTATCTGCTGGTCCAGATCATCCAGAGTCAAGTTTAAGGGATCCTTGCTCTAGAGACTAAAAAGGGCTGGAGGAATAATCAGCAACGGCATTATAACCGTGTCTCCAAAATCGCAAGGGAAACATCCTTTGAAGGATGTTAATGCATCTGTAAGCTGTATGCAGTTTGGATTAAATACCAAAAATGGTGTCCAAGCAAAAACCCTAGCCGAGCTTTGCCCTCTGTATCTGACATCTGTATTCTAACAATCCTTTCAAAGTGTCTCAATTAGTATACCAGCATTAAAGGAGTTTACATCAGCTGAGGCTATAAGAGAGTGACCACAGGAAAAATTCCGATGAGGTGGTCCCCTCCTCCCCACCAAAGATGCTTACTGTCGAAACTTGGAGAAATGGTTATCTTTAAGAATCTATTCTTAGGTTAGCCTCTAGCTGTTCAACTTCTCTAACATTTCTAAACAAGCAAAAAATAAATAAATAAAATAAAAAAGAAGTGTATCATGGTACTCAGTCCTTATCAGGACAATGAACACATCAAATTCACAAGGCCAAAAGGGGTTCTCCTCGCTAGCAAAAAATGAATGTGCCCTCTGTTTTACAAAGAGTGAAAAGAGTATATAAAGGGTGTTTGGTCACTAGTTAAGGGGAAAAACATGAAAACAAGAAAAAATTCATGTACTTAAGAAATAAATTCCTTTCGGGGCACCTGGGTGGCTTAGTCAGTTAAGCGTCCGACTTTCGCTTGGGTCATGATCTCGCCGTTCGTGGGTTCGAGCCCCGCGTCGGGCTCTATGCTGACTGCCAGCTCAGAGCCTGGAGCCTGTTTCAGTCTGTGACTCCCTCTCTCTCTGACCCTCCCCTGCTCACGCTCTCTCTCTCTCTCTCCTAGAAATAAATAAAACATTAAAAAAAAATTAAAAAAAAAAAAAAAGAAATAAATTCCTTTCTATTAAGTGTTGGTATTTAGATTCCTAAAACAATTCCGGCATCAAATTAAACCACTTTGGCTAAAATTATACGATATTTCCAAAATCTGGCCTCTTAAAAGAACTTAGGAGGTCATTACAGGGCAAGCTTTGCAAACAATACCTTACCTTTCTGCACTTGATAAGATGATAAGGAAACCTGCAGGCCCTGATCTGGTGGTTTTTATCATAGGGGCATTGTAACAGCTTTTCAGGGTCCAGAGAATCGACTGCAAGAGAGAAAGGTAGGATAAATGTAAACTTGACTGGCCTTTGTACAACGAAGCACTCCAGACACACTGGGTTTTTCAACAGAATCTTTAACAACAGAACAAGACAGTCTAATGACAACTTGGAATTTTAGAAAAAGGGTGACTAGACGTTTAAACATGAAAATGTAACTCTGAGAAGATGAAACTGTATTACCACCAAACCTTAGGAAGTCCAGCAAAGCAAGCTATCATGGGATAGGACCTTAGTTCATATTCGGTGGCACATAAATTTGTTTTATGCTAAGAAGAACCAACAATGAGAACAACAATAAAGTTAAATGAAACGATAGCCTCTTTCCGCTTCTAGATGTGCTGACTTCGGGCCATTCTTATCTCTGGCCAGCCAAACCAAAGCCTCCCAACCAGTATGCTAAAGGTCAGAGCGGATGGTGTGCCAATATACTGATGGGGTATTCCTTGGCATGTGTGCCCCCATCCCCCGTCAGTCAGTCCTAGGGCAAGTTGAGGGTAGTTAATCCCCTTTGCCAGCACTCCTGCCTATTCACTAGTAAGCCAGGTCGTGAAAAAAGTTCACAGGCACTGCTCTAGATCAGTTATTAGCTCTATGTAAGCTTGACAGATTTCTTTTTCGTTTGTTTGTTTCGACTTCCTACTATAAGTAGTTCCTGATCTTGGTTGCTGCAGACACCTCTCAAATGAAACCAATACCTTTGTCAGATAGGTGGTTTTGTTTTAAATAAATTTATTTATTTTGCGGGGGGGGAGGGACGGAGAGAGAGGGAGGGAGGGAGAGAGAGGGAGGGAGGGAGAGAATGTCTGTGTGTGTGTGTACGTGTGCGGGAGAAGAGAGAGAGGGGGAGAGAGAACCCCAAGCAGGCTCTGTGTTGTCAGTGAGGACCCAAGGGTCGGACTTTCAACCAACTGAGCCACCCAGGTGCCCCAGTGGTTTTACTTTTCATAGTTTGGAACACAGATGAGAAAAAACCAGAATTCTTTAATCTAGTGATTATCAATTTAGATTAAAAAAAAGCTACAAAAACAGAACCTTCTAAGTTTAAGATAACTGGAGACATAGGTGGAAGAAAGCTCCTAAACTAGATCATGCTATTTAAAACTACCCTTAGAAGGCTGTACTTTCCAGGTGCCTGCGTGGCTCACTCGGTTAAATGTCTGACTTTAGCTCAGGTCATGATTTTGCGGTTCGTGAGTTCAAGCCCCACATTGGGCTCTGTGCTGACAGCTCAGAGCCTGCTTTGGATTCTGTGTCTCCCTCTCTCTCTATCCCTTGCCAACTCACACTCTTTCTCCCTAAAATAAATAAATATTAAGAAAAAAAAAAGAAGACTATACTTTCAGGAATCACCTCTATAGTTATGAAAGAAGTTTCTCTAAATGTGAAAATGCTACCCGTAGGACTTTACAAGATGTCCAGGCTGGGCCCCAAATATTAACAAGCTTGGTTAGGGAAGGGAAATTAAATGGTTAAGCACACTGAGTATATTATGAGGACAAGGGGCAACCTAATAAAATGCTCTTGCCATCACCGAAGGCAATGATAAAAGTGAAATAAGATAAACAATTCACTTTTGGTAAGAAGCTTATAAACCAGGGGACTGCTATGAGAATCAGAAGTCAGTGGGGAATTGAAACAGACAGTTTCCCTGGAAGAGTGGTAAACATGGAATAAACTGCTAACCATGATCATGATGCAAATGAGCCAGAAAGGTGACTTGAAGGACAGAATGAATAGGAAGGAAAAGTCTTAGAGGACAGGCAGGCTTATTATGCCAAACAGGCTCATCCTGGCCAGCAATCTTTTCACATCCCTGAAGCTTCAGGACACCCAGGGAGAATTTACAGATAAAATTCTTATTAGTTTCTCTTCATTTAATCCATTCCATCACGAGCAAATGTTGGACCATGTCAGCAGCTGACTGACCGGACATACCTTATGATTCATAGGCATTATACTGCCCATACAGTGACATGCATCAGAGCTGATAATGATGGCTTCCTACCATAATGCTTTACTTTCTGGCCTCTGGTAACTTAGGTCAGCTCTAAACTGGTTTTCTAGATTTAAAACATTTTATTTTACTTAAAAAAATTTTTTTTCAAATCTTTATTTTTGAGAGTGAAACAGAGAGACCGAGTGTGAGCAGAGAAGAGGCAGACACAGAATCGGAAACAGGCTCCAGGCTCCGAGCTGCCAGCACAGAGCCCAACACGAGGTTTGAACCCACGAACTGTGAGATCATGACCTGAGCCGAAGTTGGGCGCTTTACCGACTGAGCCACCCAGGCGCCCCTTAGTTTACTTTTAACTAAAAATACTTTTAATGGTGATAAAGAGATACAGAACATATAATTTACCATCTTAAACATTTTTAAATACTATAGTCTGGTAGTGTTAAGTATATCCACATTGTTGTGCAACCAATTTCCAGAATTTTTCATCTTGCAGAACTGAATCTCTCTACCCACTAAGCAACAATTCCCCATTCTCTCCTCTCCCCAATGCCTAGCAGCCAGTAATTCTGCTTCTTGTTTCTAGGAGTTTGACTATTCTAGATACTTCATTTAAAAGCATAGGGTAGTCTTTTTTTGACAGACTTACTCATTTGGCATAATGTCCTCAAGGTTCATCCATATTGTCGTATGTGACAGGATTTCCTGTACCTATTTTGCTATTTTTTTTTAAGTTTTTTATTTATATATATTTTTAGTAACCTCTACCCCCAATGTGGGGCTTGAACTCCCCACCCTGAGATCAAGAGCTGCATGCTCTTCCAACTGAGCCAGCCAGGTGCCCTGCATGACCCCTGCCCCTTTTTTTTTAACTTAATATATCCTGGAGATCCTTCTATGTCAGTACGTATAAGGAATATTAAAACAAACAAACAAACAAACAACAAACCAAACCATAACAGGAATCTTTAAGTGTTGCATATGGATGTGCCATAGATTTTTAATCAGTTCTTTTATTAATAGACGTTTAGATTGTTTTCAGTTTTTTGTTATTATATATAATTTGTGACTCCCAATCTGTGGGGTATACACTTCTTTGTGTACTATATGAGCATTTCTCTTGGACAGATACCTAAGAGTGCTGCATTGAGATATATGTGTATTTAAAGTAATAAATACTATCAAACTGCTCAACAAAAATTCTGTCTGGCTTTTTGGGAATGTAACTCAATTTGGGAAACAGAGTAGGCCCTGTAGACAAGTTTCCTCCAAAAGCATAGACTCAGATGTTCCTTACACTTGGGGAGGGGCTGTGGGTAGGGGCTCCTATTCTACCCTATTCGTAGGAAGAAATGGAGGAAACTTCATAGAAATAAGGAACTAGACCTGACAAAAGTATCATCAGCTAAGAGGTACAGCCCCCAAGTAGAAAAATGAGATCTTCAGGTATCTATCAGATTTTTAAAGTTTATTTATTTTTGAGAGAGAAAGAGACCGTATGTACAAGTGGGAGAGGGAGGAAGGGGGGGGGGGGAGGGAGAGGGAGGGAGGGGGAGAGGGGGAGGGGGGGAGAGAGAGAGAGAGAATGAATCTCAAGTGGGCTCTGTACCCTCAGCATCAGCGAATGGCTTGATCCCACAAACAATGAGATCATGACCTGAGCCAAAGCTAAGTGTCAGACATTTAACCAACTGAGCTACCCAGGTGCCCCACAATCTATCAGATTAAGGTTAGAATTTAAGGCTGAGAAGAAGGTCAAGTATATTTTAAAGCAGTGCTTCTCAAACTTTAATATAATCACTTGGGGATGGTGTTAAAATGCAGATTCTGATTCAGTAGGTCTGAGATGGTGCTCCGAGATCGTGCATTCAGCAAAGTAAGAAACAAAGCAGGCCCTGCTGATAAATTGCATCCATTCATTGATGCTGATGTGCTTTAAACTTGGTCAGGGCCTAGAAACCATAGTGCCTTATGGTATCAAGCAGGGTACTACATATGAACAACATAGGACTCTGTTACTATGTAACCCTGGGAAAATCAGTTAATCCAGGTTTTCTTTTCTCAGATGTGAAATCTGAATGTTAAATGAAATGATTTTTCAGGTTTCTTTTGTTTTTATGTTTATATGATTCTAGGTGCTCTTTCCCTTTTGACTTCTTGGGCCATCACATAAGAAATAAGAATTTTTCCTCGGATTTCTTTAACCCTAAAAACTCAACATGCATCAATATCATTATGTATACCATATTAGTCCTCAAAATAGAGAGAAAACAGGGGTTACTAGCCCCATGTCCTCAATAGGAGAAACTGAAGTCCTGAAAAATTAAAATGTTTCATTTAATAAAAATATAGTTTAACACAGATGTCCCAACTGTAGCCTTGTCAAAGCCCGATAAATTTCAAGTGTTTTATTTCAAAGTTAGGTATTTCTCTACCACCACACAGACATCCTCAGCAGTTTAGGGAGAAATGTGAATCTTTCCCAACACACTAAGTGTCTTGTCAGACATAAAACTTTATGTAAGGAATTCAACTTATTCTCTAAAAGCAACAAGAAGTACATACTGTAAGTTTCTTCCATGTTCGAAATGAAGGAGCTGAATCCAAGTGCTGAGGGGGTTAAAAAAAAAAAAAAAAAAAAGCAGTGGTTCAGGTAATCAGAAATAACACGTGCCAAAGGAAGTCCTAAAAAGGGGAATCAAGCCAGAATGGAAGCTACCCAAGTTCAACATAAGAAACCCTGACTGTCCTCTTCCCCCAAATATTTACCCTCTTTTAAAGCATTCTTTACTACTCTGAAGTATTCTAACATGGTTGCCTAACACTCTTGGAATATATTCTAGGGCTCACAGTTAAGAAAAAACAAATATGACTACTAATTTCAACTATATTCAGGTGATAAGATAGATTACTTTAAGTGCCATTACAACAACCTGTCACTGTTTACTGTCCATTAGGGTTTGATGCCATTTAACATTAAAGGGGGCAAGTCACGACCACAAGGATACTGTTATTTAAACTTTAGGAATAGGGTACTAATTTAAAGCTCTCCTCCCAAACTGGTTAAGTGTCTCCACAGTTACTACTCATTCCCTGTATGCACTGAGGGAAATCCTTTGAATGTTAGAACTTAAGAACTGTTCATTTTACGGATAACACAGTAACAAAAGTACAAATCTGCAACAGAAATGTAGAAGATTAAAAGACAGGAAACAGTTCTTTTGGATCCTCTTCTAGTGAAGACCTTCCCCTAATCAGCACTGTGATTAAATAAACTTAACATTATGGGGGAAAAACTAAATTTATATAAAACCATTCTCATAGGAAACTTCTGAAAATTGGCTAGACTTACAGCAGCTATTGTTTCTAGAGCAAGCTCTCCTTTGGCCCTTCATACAATTCCACACCCCTTCCCCCCATTCTATGACATAAGCAGCCTTGGAATCCAGGATAGGAAATACAAGTGATCAGCTGCTGGAACTCCAGTTTAGAAATTTGCTGCGAAGCCCATTTATTAATGGCAATTGTTAGTTGAAAGTGTTGTAAAAAAGATTTTCCATATCTGGGTTAAGACACTCTGACCTTCCTTTTGAAAAGTTTTACTTGTACGTAGTTACTTTACACTTTCTCAATAAAAAATAAGAGGTTTGGAAGGAAGAACCAAGTATTAGGTTCCTTGATTTTTAAGCCGCCGTAAACTATGGGGAAAGAAACACTAATTACAGTAGACTAAGGGCACTGGAATCCATAGCTTCATCGTTCAGCCGTGTCCAGTGAAGTATCTTACGTAACAAATTGTTAACAGGCGCTCCTTTACCTTTTCCCTAGTAGTGGACCGCGCTGAAATGGACAAATTTGGCGAAGCCGTCAAGTTTGGGGGCTGGATGTGGTCTGAAGCAACTGATTACACTCTTAACAGACCTGGGGTCTCCGTAAAACTGTCTTTTTTCTTCCCTTAAACAATCAGAGTAGATTTAAGCAAAGGGACTAAACGCGAGAGGCGGGAAAGTGGTCAGGTTAACTTAAAAGAAGTAGGAGGCCCTCGAGGGGACAGGCGGTGGCGGGACCACCGGTAGCCCGAACAGCAGCGCTGGGAACCCGCAAGGCCCAAGGCCACGGGAGGAAAAGGGAAGATATTAAACGGCGACGGTACCCCAGCACACTAAAAGTGAGTTGTTTGGTGTCCCCAAGCCACACAGGCGTTGCCTTTCCTACCTGGTCCAGACACGCTCTCCCCACAGTCGCTTTCTCCCCAGGTCCGCGCCCCAGCAACGCTTACTTCCGGCCCCTGACGTTAGTGGGTGGGGCCCCCACTTCCTGTGACGCTGGTGTCGGCTCCGCGGGAGCGTGGGCTGCGTGGACCCCCAACCCCTCTCCCCGGGTGCCCCGCCTTGGCCGCTTTCCACTCCAGGTTCCGCGCCGTTCTCCTTTTTCAGCTCATCCTCATGAGGTCTCCAGAGCGACACTGGCCTTGCGTGGGTGGAACTTGCCCTGCTTTCCGTGGGCTTCGTGGCGGCCATCTTAGGAAAGCGAATGGGCGTTTAGGAATAAGCGCTAGAAGCGAGGAGACAGGGTAGGGCGGGCTGCTGGTTGCAAGAAAGCCTTGTTCGTTTAAGTTATCCAGGTAGAAGTGTGATTTGGATTTTGAGGGGAGGGAAGAGGAAAATCGTAAAGGAGGTAAGCCTACAGAAGGGCCAAGCCAAACACCAAGGACAGGAATCTAGTTGTTTTTGTTTAGCACGCGTCGTGGAATCTTAAAATTCGGAAGTCAATAATAGTAGCTAAGGGTGCTAGGTAGGAAAGATGTCCTAGTTGGATTAAAGGGAGTTTTAGAGCGGAGGAGAGAGCTCAATGAAAAGAGTTGGAGAGGTAAAGGGGATCAGAAAGCTCTAACTCGATAATGGAAACCCAAACATAGATTGTGAGCCCTGTTTTGGAAACTGTGATACACACACACACACACACACACACACACACACACACAAGCGTAGTTCATGTCCCCGTGGTGCTTAGGAAAACAGGCCTAGAGTGGATGAAAGGTAAAATGGCAATATAACAGATGTCAAAAATATGGTCATGACTGGAAATTTATATTAGGAAGAAATCAGTGAGGCCCAAAGTGACCTGGGAAGGCTTTATGGAAGAAATAGGATTGTGATCTTTGAAGGTTAGACAGGAAAATGGGAAGATGTTGATGTCTGTTATGGTAGATCTGGGACTACTATTTTTCAAAACCAAGAAGTAAAAATATGATAGGACAAACATTTTTGTACTGGCCGAGGTGTAGGAGGCAGTGTGGGAGATCAGTCTGAGTACTGAAATAGTGGGATTTGGGGGAACATTTTAGTGATTACTAGAGCCTAAATGTGACTTAGGAGAGCTTATCCTGATAGCATGAACTGAGTGTGACTTCAGTGAGAAGGATCACAGAGATGAGACATTTGATTTTTCCAAACATACTTAGTAAACATAATTTGTTACCTGGTCGTTTTTTTTTTTTTTTTAAAGATTATCAGCCCTTGGGCTGAGGAGAGTGTGCTTCACAGTCTTTGGCTCATATTAAGACCCTAAAAAGAAATGTATTTTTGGGCGCCCTGCCCAAGCCGTTTTTGTAGGCTTGTGGTTTTTAATCTTGTCTGTACATTTCAATCATCTGGGGAGCTTTTAAGACCTACCGTGCCGAGTGCCCCTTCCACACCAATTAATCAGAAAGGGCCGGGCATAGTTATTTTTAAAAAAGCGACCCAGATGATTCTTATGTGCAGTCAAGGCTGAGAACCACTGACCTAGGCACTGTTTTGAATTTAGGAAAGCTAATCTTTCACCTGAGTGGCCTGGATAATCCCCGTGAAGGAGGAGCAAGCTGTTAAAGTGCTTCTTGAAAGATAATAGCTGAGAATGAAAGCTTCATTGCTAGCTTAGCACCAAGCATTTTAGAGAAAGCTGTTGTTCTGGCAAATCGGTTTCAGATTGTTAGGAATAACTTAAGGTAACCTTTCTGAAATTCGAAACCTCTTAATTTATCACATCATTCATGCAGATTGGTGGGGCCATTGTGATTTGAAGCGAAATGTGATTTTTCAGGCTTTGAATTGCAGCAAGCTGGTGAAATTGTTGACGCTGTAACTGTGACCCAGAAGCACTTTTCAGATACCTGCAGACTGAAATTTCTGAGGAAGAGCCAGGGCGTGAGAGGATGGAGGGGGTGGGTATCAAACCAGAATCCAAAGTCAGGCTTCACCGCGTTTGGTAATGCCTTGTCAGGGTGACCAGATCCTGTACTGAGAAACTGGGAAAGCTGTTCAGTTTAGCCGGAGTGAACAAGCCCGCCGACCTTCAAACAAACACCCCCCACCCCCAACTGTCTTTCAGTGGAGATTTTAAAATGAAAATGCTCCACACATCTATTCTTTCTATTCTTAAATGCTTTGTTCATTCATCTCCAACCTGGAAAGTTCCTGCTTTATCTAAGATCCCTGCTGAGCTGTCTTTCAGACTGGCTTTTCAGCCAGGTTGAATATATTTGAAAAGGGGAAAAAAACAATGAGAGACCAAAGCATTTACACAGGGTCAGTCTAGGAGCTAGCTGGGATTAATACCCTAAACTGAATCTGATCCTTGCAGGTTCTATCTGATGATATGCCAGCATTTATCCTTAAATTATAGATTATGTATATTAAAAATTTTTTTAAAGTTTATTTTGAGAGAGAGAGATCATGCGTGTGCACTCATGCTTGGGATGGGAGGCGAGCAGAGGGAGAGAATCCTTCTTAAAAAAAGGTTTCTTAATGTTTATTTATTAACATTAAGGGGAAAAACAGGGGAGGGGCAGAGAGAGACTGAGAGTCCAAAGCAGGCACCAGCCTCTGAGCTGTCAGCACAGAGCCCTACGTAGGGTTTGAACTCAGAGAGAGAGAGAGACAGAGACAGAGACAGAGAGAATCCTAAGCAGGCTTTGCACCGTCAGCAAGGAGCTGGACATGGGAGCTCCAGCTCACAAACCGTGAGATCCTGAGCTGAAATCGAGAGTCTGGTGCTTAACTGACTGAGCCACCCTGGCGTCCCTATAGATTATATTTTTGAACTAATAATTATCAATTAAAAACAAACACTATGGACTAATAAATATAAAGACAGGTCTGTACCTAAGTGATTAAAAAAATCTTTGGGGCTCCTGGGTGGCTCAGTCGGTTAAGCGTCCAACTTCGGCTCAGGTCATGATCTCACAGTTCGTGGGTTTGAGCCCCATGTTGGGCTCTGTGCTGACAGCCAGCTCAGAATCTGGAGCTTGTTTCAGATTCTGTGTCTCCCTCTCTCTCTCTCTGACCCTTCCCTGCTCACACTGTCTCTCTCTCTCTCTCTCTCTCTCTCAGAAATAAATAAAACATTAAAAAAAGGATTAAAAAATGTTCAAAAAATAAAAAATAAATCTTTGTTAGAAAATTAGTTTTCTCAGCTTTTAGGATGAAAGGAATTCCAGTAGTCCTTGAGATTCTTTGGGAGTTTCAGTGTTTTAGATAGCCCAATAAAACTCAAACTTTAGCCCACCAGAAGACTAAAATATTAAATTTCTCTGTTTCTGGCTTGAGTGCTGTCAACAAAATCCTGATTCTCTCATCTAATTATCAATTCGGATCAGTAGTTAAGTGCGTAATTAAAAATAGGAAAGTTATTTAATAAATACAGTTGCAAAATATTTCAAAATGAGAGAGCTGGGGGGTCATGACAGATGTTCGTACTGATGAGGATAGATTGGGAAGTATTGCTGTAGGGGAAGGTGAAAAGTTGGGGCTGGTTACAGTTTTTCAGGCAAAATAGGGAGAGGTGCTGTCAGCAGGGGGCCAAAAAAATAAATTTATGTTTAAAAGAGAGTCCCTAATGGAAGTTTGGATTGAATAGCCAACATTAAACTCTAGAAGCACAGGATAATATAAGATGAATGAAAGTAGTGATTTTTTAGGGGTGCCTGGGTGGCTCAGTTGGTTAAGCATCTGACTTTGGCTCTGGTCATGATCTCACAGCTCGTGGGTTCAAGCCCAGCATTGGGCTCTGTGCTGACAGCTCAGAGCCTGGAGCCTGCTTCAGATTCTGTGTCTCTGTCTCTCTTTGCCCTTCCGTGGCTTGTACTCGGTCTCTCTCTCAAAAATAAATAAACATTAAAAACAAAAGAGAGAGACACAGCAGTGATTTTTAAAAAATGTGTACTTTAAATTAATTCTGTGTCTTAATAGGTAAATGTCAGGTACCTATGTAATCCACATTGCTTGTAAGAGTTACCAGTGGGCTTGAGAAATCTGTTCTCGGTGTTTTTCCTTGACTTCTAGCTGTCTCCTTTTTCCAGAAGTCAGCAACACATAGCTCCTCACACCCTTTCTGGTGCAGGCAGCTAAGACGTCAATTGTAAGTCAAAGTTTGCAAACCATTGTTAGTATCACTTTAGCAAGGCTTATGAACAAATCGGTGAGGAAACCGAACTTCTTAAAAGAAGTTTGTTGAAAAGATGGTAGAATGGCAGAATTATACTAAATAAATTTTACCCACTAAAAATTATGTTAAGGACTAATCTTGCACTGAATGGTTCTAAAATTCGACTACTGTCGTTCTTCTGATCTGCTATTTTTAAAAATGTTAGATTTTTTTTTCTAAAATTCTTGAATGTTTTATTTATTTCTGAGAGAGAGAGAGAGAGGCAGAGTGAGCAGGGGAGGGTCAGAGAGAGAGGGAGACACAGAATCTGAAGACAGGCTCCAGGCTGTGAGCTAGCTGTCAGCACAGAGCCCGACGTGGGGCTTGAACCCACGAACTGTGAGATATGACCTGAGCCAAAGTCAGACGCCTGACTGAGCCACCCAGGTGCCCCCCAAAATGTCAAATGTTTTATGAGGACTTTAAGATCCAAAACAGGTGAACATAAGGGAA